AATTTTTTTGCCCCCCCCCGGACGGAAATCCTGTGACCGCCACTAATATTGTATTATACTTTGTCTGGTCTATCCAACTATCAACAAAGCTATTCTAAAACTTCGAAAAGAAAATTTCGAAAAATAGCCATTAAAATGGGCAAAAAATTTGGTGGAGATTCTGACGATTATTCGAGTGAACATCAAAGGACTTGGAACAAAAACATCACTGCTTGAAAAAGGAATAAACTAATCGAACACTGTTTAGTGTGTTTGTCTATCATTATTCCGCGTAATTTAATAATAATAATAATAATTTGGTAATACTGATAAACGGCATTTTCGGACCGACCAGAAAAGCTTAGATTACTTACGATAAACGGTGCGACTGAGGAAGCTACAGAGACGAATTTCTAATTATGAACCTGTCGTATCCGCCGGAAGCCAGCAGGCCACCGAAGTCAGGATGTGCCCATGCCACCTGCCACACTGGTCCCGAATGTCCAGCAAGTTCAGCTATGGGGACGATATAACCATTGGATTTTACCTATATTATCGATATTTCACTGGAATCTAAAAGCTTCGGCATGGATACCTCAAAGACTTTGACGAGACGATCACTAGAGCAAGTGGCGAGACGATTTCCATAGTAATTCAACTGAGCGTCGTGCTAAAAAAGACGATGGCCGTACATAAAGCACTGCTCAGCCACAACTGATATAGATCAGTTAACTCAATTCAAACAAACTCAAACTCAAAAGTACATAAATCAACCAAGAAACGCAAAAAAGATGTGCAAAAACATCAGAAAAACGAAAAACAATCAAAAAGGCTTACGATGATATCAGTGTGAGCGGTATCTATCTTGCATGACACAGTGGTCTGAAAATATTAGACCATTACGGCACAAAAAAAAATTTGAGTTCTCACCATAGTAGTCACAGTGAACGCGTCACAGCAACGACGACGCTGCAAGAAAATAATTAGCTACTAAATGAAATCAGATAGGTAAGCAAATAATAGTCTTTCTTGAGCCGAAAAATTCAGCGGATTGAATATGCACCATGCACTTTTGAAAATTAGTTACTAGGAGACTTTCAAACAAAACCATGAATGTTTGGAACTCCAAAACTATCGTGCACGGTCATTACAAACACTGTGTGCACATGCACTGCACACATCAGCAGTCACAGTAGCCAAACTCCAGAAACCATTGTTCGTCGGATACCGGCGCTGACCTTAATT